TATTAGCCCAGACAGACCTGGAACTCACTATGTAGCTAGGCTGGCCTCAAACTTCTGGCAATCTTCCTGCCTTAGCCTCCTGACGGTTGGGATTACAATCCACCAGATTGAGTACAGTTGCTGTCTACATCGGAAGACAGATTGCTGGTATTTCTTATTCTGCCACCTTCCCAGAATCCATGCATAGTATTTTTTAATTATTTATTTTTAAGAGACATTTTATTGATTCAAGAATTTCATAAAACGAATTTTGATTAGATTCAGACTTCCTCCCTGCCCCCCGCCCTGACTTTGTGTCTTCTATGAGTGCATGAAAAACCCTATCCATTTTGCACAGCACATTTGAGCTAGATGCCTGAGAAACCATAACTCATGAGAGTGTCAGTGATCGCTAATTCTTACACTCAGGTGTACAAAAGTAAGAGCCCACTCCCTTTCCTTTGTACATGGTTTTGGGTCAGAATACCCAAATTTCTGTTTCTCTTATACACCGTTTAAGAACATACTCATTTATTTTTATTTTATGTGTATTAGTGTATTGCCTGAATGTATGCAAGTGCACCCATGTCATACAATGCCTTCAGGGGCCAGAAGAGGGCATCAGATCCCTTGGAACTAGAGCAACAGACAGTTGTTAGCTGCCCTGTATGTGCTGGGAATCGAACCTGGGTCCTCTGCAAGAGCAGCCAGTGCTCTTAACTGCTGAGCAAGCTCCCCCGTCCCTGCCCCATGTATAGTTTTTAAAGTGTAAGAAGTAGAAGAACCTCTAAACGACCACTACGGAAAAAAAAAAAAAGGAAAAAGGAAACAAAATGAAAGGATGTCAGATAGCCTCAAGCAGCATAAAATGAAAACCAGTTAGAAGATCTGGCTAAATGATATTTCACAGCAGATTGGAAAATTGTAATCTCTCTTGAGAGATTGGGTATAAGACAGACTCTTAGTCAATTTCAGAACTAAAGTGTAAGTATAAGGTTTAACCCAGCACCAAAGAGGCTGATGCAGAAGGGTTGTTGTTTTAGGCCAGTCTATGTTATTAGCAAATTCCAGGTAGCTTGAGCTATAATGAGACTCTATCTCAAATGACAAACAAAAAAGTAGCATTTAAAAAAATATTTTATTTATTTTTATTTTATGTATGGTGTATTGCCTGCATGTATGTGAGTGCACCCATGTCATGCAATGCCGCAGAGATCAGAAGAGGGCTTCAGATTCCCCTGGAACTGGAGTTAAGGATGGTTCATAGCCACTATGTTGGTGCTGGGAATTGAACCTGGGTCCTCTGCAAGAGCAGTCAGTGCTCTTAACCGCTGAGCCATCTCTCCAGCCCCCAAAGTAGCATTTTTTAAAGGCTTAAATGTTTTAAATTACCTTAAAGGCTAGAATCCAATTGAAGTAAACCATCGATATTTTTATTTATTTTTTATTACCAGGTCTTTAATTTTGTGGGGGAGGTAAATGGGTAGGTAGAGTATCAGGAAGTGTTAAAGCAGGTGTCCTGAATTTTTATTTCTGGAAACTGTTGAATAAGGGAAGGTAGTCCTAAAGTATACTGGTGTCTAGAAGGAATGGTGTTTATCAAAGACTTTCTACCTGGTGGTTGATTTGTCTTCAGAAATCTCTTTGACTTGATATTAGGAAGACCAAAGAAGAATAGCCACGTATTCCTATAATCATTTCCAATCCTGACTGATGGCACCGTGGCCTGAGTCACTGATGTTCCTGGTACCAACCAAGGCGAGTCTAGCCCTGGCTAGCATTGAGCTTACTATGTAGCACAGAGTAACATCAAACTCAGAGATCCTTCTACCTCAGTCTTGGGAGTGCTGGGGTTATAGTTATGAGCCACCATAGCTGACTATCAGCTCAGTTTTAAGAAGGAATGCCTTGCTTCTACAAGATTGTTAGGGCTACTCCTTCCAAAAATTGGGGCTTGGGAAAAACTTATCAGTAGTAGAGTTAGGAAAGTAGAAAAGTGACTGTTAAGGTTCAAGGACCTTTGTAGGTTACTGAACAATTGCTGCTATCTATGAAATTGACTGTGAGGGAAACCTCAATACATAGTGCCTGTGGAGCTGATATTTGGGATGGATAGTTTTTGTAATGCTATAACTATTGCTAAGTATGTAACAGACCCAGTGTACACCAACGTGTTCATGTAGAGTATATAATTCAACTATATCAGTTGATAAAATACTTTAACTGTAGTCCTTAAATCATTATTTTAATAATAATTATTATTTGCAGTGCTGGCATAGAACCTGGGACTTGGCAAATGCTAGGCAAGCATTCTACTGATGAGCTATACCCTTAAGCCTATAGAGGATTATTTTTGTTTTGTTTCTTTTTTTGTTGTTGGCTTTGGTTTTGTTTCTGAGATGGAGGTTTCCATATGTGGCCCAATCTAGTGTCCAAATCAAAATTTGCTTGCCTCTACCTACTGAGTGACAGGATTGCAGATGTGCCCACCATGTCTAGCTCGGTTTTTAAAAATGACTTCAATAAACTTTATTTTGGAATACTTTGTGACTTACATAAACATTGTGAAGATAAGACAGAGTTCCTGTATACTTCCACCCAGTTTCTGGTGTGGGACTTTGATAATCCTAGTCTTAAAAGTTCTCAGGAATGTTTTGAGATGATGTTTCGGTTTCTCCTCTTTCCATTCCCTCTTCTGATTAGTCAAAGCTTCAGTTCCAGCTGCTTAGTTTCAGACCCCAAGGGAACAAGAGCTACTAAATCTCTTTCTCAGTATTTCTTTGGAAAATCTATATTAAAAAAAAGACTAGATCATATTACCAAACACAATTGAAGTGAGCACAATTGAAGATGAGCTTTGCAAACTCACAAAACTGCTGAGATTGAACTGTCTGGATTGAGATATGGATCCCAGTGTGATGAACTCAAAATTCCTGGAGGAGAAAGCTTGTGAATACCAGCTTTTAAGACAATACCATTCCGGAGCTGGAGAGATGGCTCAATGGTTAAGAACACTGGCTGCTCTTGCAGAGGACCCGGGTTAGATTCCCATCACCCACATGGAAGCTAACAACCATCCTTAACTCCAGTTCCAGTGGATCTGACACCCTCTTCTGATCTCTAAGGGCACTGCACAACACGAGTGCACTTGCATGCAGGCAATACACTCATACACATAAAATAATAAGAAGAAAGAAAATATTTTTTAAAAATATAACATTGGAGTTGGGGATGTAACTCAGTAGTAAAATAAAAAAAATAAAAAAGAGTATACCGTTCCAAGTACATTTGGCATTGTGTCTGTAGGTTCCTCATCTATCAGTTCTATGTTTGCAGGTCAACTGTCTACAGAGGGAAAACAAAGATCTAAAAATATCATGTTTGTACTAAACATGTCATAGCTTACTTTTCCTTGTCACAATTCCCTAAACAAAGTATAACAATGAGATATTTACTCTTTATAGATTACAGGGAATCTAGAGATAATTTGAAGTATATGGAAGGATGTGCATAGTGTGACTATATGTAAATCCTACACTGTGGATAAGTGGATAATAGATTTGTTATGCACAGGGGTTCTGGAACCAGTCTGGTTCAATACTGGTTTTAACATCCTAGCTCAGAAAATTGTTATTGAATATGTCAATTCTGATGTAATGAAAGGTTTCTTCTAAGTATGTGGTTATTAAATAAATAATTTCTAAAAAATAAAAAAATAGATAAAAATAATAAAATATTTTTTAAAAAAGTATATGACATTCAGGGCTGGAGAGATGGCTCAATGTTTAAGAGCATTGGCTGCTCTTGCAGAGAACCCAGGTTCAAATCCCAGCACCCACATAGCATGTAACAACCATTTGTAACTCCACGTCTGGGGAATCCAACACCCTCTTCTGGCCTCTGTGGGAATTACATGACACATGTGTACTTACATACATGCAGGAAATATACTCATACACATAAAATAAAGAAAAAGAAAATATTAAAAAAAGAGTATGACATTGGAGCTGGGGATATAGTTCAGTGGTAAAGTACTTTCTCAAGACTTTGAGTTCTACCCCAAAAACCACAAAGAGGAAGGAAGGAAGGAAGGAAGGGAGGGAGGGAGGGAGGAAGGAAGGAAGGAAGGAAGGAAGGAAGGAAGGAAGGAAGGTAGGTAGGTAGGTAGATGGGCCATAGTGGTGCATGCCTGTAATCCCAGAAGTTGAGATATAGAGGTAGAAGATCAGAAATGCAAAGCCAGCTACATAGTAAGTTTGAGGCCAGTGTGGGCTACATGAGACCTTATCTCAAAAAATAATGTGATTTTAAAGCCACATTTTTTTTTGCAAGTTGCAAACTTAGCTCTTCCACCGGTCATGGGATATAGGGCAAGTAAATGAGCTAATTAATTGACCTCCTTGTACCCAGTAACAATTTTGTTTGGTTTTCTTTTTAATTTTTAAATAATATTGTGCATGTGCATGTGTGTTTGCATGTGCGTGTATGCCACTGCATGCGTATGAAGGTCAGAGGACAACTTGAGGAAATCAGTCCTCTCCCTCTCCCATGTGGATCCTGGGAATGGAACTCAGGCTATCAGGCTAGGCAGGCACCTTTAGGCACCTTTACCTGCTCAGCCATCTTGCCAGCCTGTTTTTTTTTTTTTGTTGTTGTTGTTTTGTTTTGTTTTTGAGACAGAGTCTCACTTTGTAGCTCAAGCTAGCCTTGAACTCACTGTGTAGTCTGGGCTGGCCTCAAACTCACAAGAATTCTCTTGCATTAGCCTCCCAAGTGCTGGGATTACAGGTATTTGCCACCATGCCCAACTAGTCACTCCATCTTCAGTAGGAGGCTAACAGTAGCCCCTATCTCAAAAGTTCTGAGAGGATTTGCGAGAGTATAACAGTGCTTGTCTCAGGATATTGTTAACTCAGCTGGTTATTGTTCTTGACATCTAGGATGTAGACACATGGATTAATTGAACCATCAAAAATTCTTGCTGCATTGATAAACTTTTATCTTATGCTTGATTTGAACAGAAATTCAGCCACCTGTGACAAATTTGAGTGTCTCTGTTGAAAACCTCTGCACGATAATATGGACATGGAGTCCTCCAGAGGGAGCCAGTCCAAACTGTACTCTCAGGTATTTTAGCCATTTTGATGACAAACAGGATAAGGTAAGTTTGCTAAAACATGTGTCTTTGCTGTGATAAAGTGAACACTGTGAGCTGAAGCCAAGAATGAGTCAAATTCTAATCTGACTTCAAAGTGGAAATTTTACTTTGGGTTGTGACCAAATTTCAATTGGGGATAATTGTAGAAAGAGCTATTGACAAAATTGAGCATTTAAAAATATTTGCTAACCATTTGATGATTAGATGTAGTTGAGATTGTTCTGATAGGAAATACTAGATACTTTTAAGTCTTTAACACCCAATAAATAATCAGTTATGTTATTGTTAAATTTTGTTCTTATGTTCCTGCCCATATCTCTTGTATCTATAGAACACTCAATTTTCAGGACATTTTCATATTTTTCATCTTACTAATCACCTACATTGATAGATATGTAAGAACTATGGGTCTAAAAGTAACTGCCATTTGGGAAGTGGAAAAGTAAGATGTTGGTGATGGGCCAACTTGAGTTGAAGGTTTGCTGATGCCTAAGGAACTTTCAAGCTTTGCCATTTAGATATATTGAGCTGATTTAAATGCATTTTTGTTGACAGGACTGCATAATTTCAGGTTCTTTATGATAAGTCTATTCTATTACTTTGTAAGTTTTTACCTTCTTTCATTGTGTGTGGTGAGAGAGAGGTGTTTGGGGTTGAATTTGCCTAGAATATTGAGGCCGCATGAGAAGCTGTTATTAGTGGTCATGTCTTGGACCAGTGAACTGTGAAATCACCACTTTGTAGCAGCTTCGGTGGCTGGAAGAGTGGAGTGAACTGAGTTCTAGCTGGGGCAGCTCTTAGCTGGTTCAGTGGCTGGAGTTAAGTGACATAACCTCTCTGAGCTCTGTGTGCTTCCCTCACTTACATCCTGAATTTTCCAGCACACAGAAAACAATACATTGGAAAATTTAGTACTGAGACTGGAGCAGACTCTTCCTCCAGAGGGAAATTAGCTAGTTAGCCTTCTTGTCCTCTTCCCTACTGAGGTGGTCACTGTGGCTCAGGTTTGGGCTGGAGAGATGGCTCAGCAGTTAAGAGCACAGACTGCTCTTGCAGAAGACCCAGGTTCTATTCCCAGCACCCACATGGTGGCTAACAACCATCCTAACTCCAATTCCAGAGGATTCAGCACCCTCTTCTGACCTCTGTGGGCATTGCACGACACAGATCCACTTACATACATGCAGGCAATACACTAATACACATAAAAAATAAAAATAATAAATAAAATATAGAAAAAGAATGGAAGTTTTTCAGAAGTATTTGGGATTCATGACAGGCTACATGCCTGTGACATTTGTAGCAGAAACTGCAGCTCTGCTCTATATCATTGGTTACTTCTTGTTCTCAGGAAGGACCCAAGTTTGCAGTTTTGGTGCTGTTTTTTAGTAGTTCATCCTTGAGAAAATAAAGACCCAAAGTGCCTTTGGGTATAAATTCCATTGTCACTTAAGGATTTACAATGAGAAGAGGTCACCTTTAAGTATCTTCTTAGTAGCTTGTCAAGGATGTTAGGGAGAAATATTGATCATTCTAGCCCAGAAATGGGGCCAATTTGTCAATGTATGTACTGAAATTTCAACTTAAAAGTAACTGCAGAAGGCAGTGCAATCAAATAGTGTTTTATTTCAAAACTAGTCTCTTCACCTTTTTAGCTGTATGACCCTGAGCAAGTCACTTAATATCAGTTTCCATTCTCTTGTTTTTAAAATGTGGGACAGTGTGAAGGGTAGTAATAATACCTGCTTCATGTAGATGGCATGTGCATTGAAGGAGAAGAGGTTTGCAATGAACTTGATGCAGTTAGTGCTTATTTAATTGTAGCACTACTGTTGTTAGGTTGAAACATAGGAACTTGCCAATCTTACAGAACAAAATGGTTGAGCATATGTCAGAATTACATGACATAACCTTATCTTATCATTTTATCTTGTTCCCTAAAGATAGCAGAGAGAGAATATCAAAGGTGACCTCTGCCTAAGGCCTGCTCCTTTATTTCAGTCAAGATTTCTGACTATCTGTCCTACAGTTATCAGAAATGAACATTACTCCTGTCTGGACCTACTGAAGTTTACCACCCTCAGGCTGAAAATCATTGGCAGGAGCAATGTTTCTCTTCTCTTTCTGCCCTTGGGATATAGCAACATAACATCATATGTAAAACAGGGCTGGGCCTATCCCTGAGGCATATCAAGCACTGAGGTTATAATGCTTTGCACATGTTAGGGGGCATGGACTGACGCCCAGTGGCCCAGTGGTTCCAAGTTGCTAAATGAGATAAAGTCTGCAGATCATTTTCAGTCTTCATGTGGGAGACTTATCAAAATAAGAAATAGAGATTAGAAACAACAGAATTTTTCAAAAGCAAAAGATTAGTGTCAGTGGTAACCCTTCACCATGTCTATTAAATCTCCATTCTGGCAAGTAGAAGGTGGCTCTGGCAATGTATTTTAGGTATCTTTCATCACCAAGAGATAGCGAAGTCCCACTGGGCAAATGACTCAAAGGCCCTTCAGTTCAGGCCTAAGCCAAGGCTGACTCCATTTCCTGCTGAGAAAGAACTTTTCGGTCAGGAAAGGTGTGATGGAGCCAAGTGTAAATTCATCCTCAGGGAGCTGGAGAAGTTCAGGATGATGGCCTTGGATTTTGATAGATTTTACAAGGAGGTCAGATTCCCTGAGGGTAGAGAATGCTGTCATTATAGTAGCTACTAGTGAAATGATTCATCAAAGTCATGCATATCTCATTAGGATCTGCTGAGAGGAATTTAGTCCCTTGTCTGATGCAGAGAGGCATGTTTGACTTGGTGAGCATTGATATCCAGTCATCCTATTTTATTCATATCAATTTAGTATTACCTTGAAAGTAAAGATTTCTTTTTGAGACAGGGCCTCATGCATCCCAGGCTGGTTTCTAACTCAATATATAGCTGTATCTGGCCTTGAACTCCAGATCCTCCCACCTTCACCTCCCAAGTGCTGGGATTAGAGGCATGCATCACCATGCATGGCTTGCAAAGAGATTTTAAAAAAATTATCTTTAAATCTGTTTTTCTGAGTTATTTGTATGCCTAGATGATAAAACTCCAATTTAGGTACTAGAGCATTTTTTAAAATGTGTATGAGTATATTGCCTGCCTGTGTGAGTACAATGCCTGCAGAGGTCAGAAATGAGCATCAGATTCCCTGGAACTGGAGTTACTGATGGTTGTTAGCTGTCATGTGTGTGTTGGGAATCAAACCGGGTCCTCTGCAAGGGCAGTCTGTGCTCTTAACCATTGACTCATCTTCCCAGTCCTAGAGCCTATTTTAACTAAGAAATTTCACTATTATAAAAATCATTTTGTAATAAAACTCTTTCACTCTCTAGCTGGAGCAGCAGCCAATATAATAAGAGAATTGAGATTTTCCCATTATTTTTTCAAATTAAATAATTTTGTTTTAAATTGAAAATTGTAATACTGATGGAACCCAGAGCCACACACTTGCTAGATAAGCACTGTACCACTGAGCAACTCCTCCAACCATAATTTATGATCCTTGATAGTACATTTTTCCCTGGTATCCTCAGAGATTAAATCTCCCAGATAAGAATTATGAAGGATCCTTGGGCCATTCAGTGACTTGTAACTAATTAGTAAAGTAGTGAAGTTGGTGAGATTCTATGGAAGCCTTCCTGGTCTTCAGTTTTGTGAGCTCAGAAACCTCCCTTCCTCAGCATACATTTTTCAGGGGCCAGTCCTTATTGCCAGAAACATTAAAATAATGAAGCATTCCAGGAAGACTCCTGTCAGCATGGTACATTCCATCCCCGTAGGCAGAGCCTATGTGGGAAGCCAAATGATAAGTAAGTTTCTTGGCAAGGAGTCAGGAATTCATTGTGAAAAAGTCCTTGGCTATGAATAGCTAGCTGGAGGCCCCAGTGAGGATAACCAGAGCTTTTCTGGATTCCATGTCCACGTTGCTAAGTCACCATCTCCTTTCTCCCAACCAGGATTTTTCTTGAAGTCTTGAAGAGATATGTTTCTGACCTACCCTTCCTATTTTTTTTTCCAGAATGCTATTTTAATTGTGCCTAAAAACTATTGTGTCTCTGTACTCATGTCCCTGCTCTGGTATATTCATTGTTGGCTTGCTGGGTACTACCCCAATGGTATCCACTTGGCCTGGTTTCAGAGGTATCTTGGAGTTGCCCTCTTGCTCAGCCAGCAGCAGGCGTGGGAAATGCCACAATAGCTGCCTGAAGGGGTAAATAAAGCAAACTGACCATTTTCTTCCTTCATAGCCATCAGGGCATTATGAAAGGAAATGCTATGGGAAACTTGAGTCAGAAACTATTGCAAAACAGGAAGTGCTCTCTTTAGAGCTTTGATTAAAAACAGCTCTGCTCTTAATTAGCTCTTTCACCTCTGGAAATGTTAATTTCCTAGAGAGACTGTTAATCACATTATTCTGTCACAATAAGCAGATTTGTGATTTAGTATTGATTGCTGATATATACTGTATATATATTTGTAAGTCACAAAGCTAATCTTCAATATGAAAGTGCACATAACAACCCTTGAAATTTACAATCAAATACTGCAGGAAAGTGTTTAATGGAAAGTATCTCTTTGGGCCTCAGGCCCCAGAGGTCACCACAATTACTCGTTTTAATGTGATTTTTTTTTAAACTTTGATCTCAATGGTATACTGCATGGGTTAGGAATGGAATTTTGAGAATTTTTTCCTTTAAATTTGCTTTTAGAAAGTTGATGTTAGCATGGTAGGCTTATAGGTAAATTTTATTATATTTGTACATTTAAATCGGGAAAATTCGTATTGTGTCTACACTAGAGTTTCTCAATGATGGTACTGCTAACATCTGATGCGGGGGAATTCTTTATTGAAGAGACGTGGCCCAAACTGTGCATTATAGGATGTTTTGTATCATCTCCAGCCTGTCTCCACTAAATGTCAATAGTATCTCGCCCTAAAAATGGCCTTAGCCTCTAGTGACTCTACAGACGTGGAAGAACAACCCTTGCCCGGTGTGGTAGTACACACCTTTAATCCCAGCACTCTGGGAGGCAGAGACACTGGGATCTCTCTGAGTTCAAGGACAGCCTGGTCTACATAGTGAGTTCCAGGCCAGCTGGGGCTGTAGGGAGACCCTGTCTCAAAAAGAACCCCCCCCCAAAAGAATCACTAACCCATACCATTTAAGAACTTACCGTTTGTCTTATACATATGTTCTGGTTTTGTTATTTAAATGTCCTTTGTGTTTGATGTATTGATATCTTTAAAAAAAATTTTCTAACCTCAGAAAATTGCTCCAGAAACCCATCGTTCAAAAGAAGTCCCCCTAAATGAGAGGATCTGTCTGCAAGTGGGGTCCCAGTGTAGCGCCAATGAAAGTGAAAAGCCTAGCATTTTGGTGGAGAAGTGTATCTCACCCCCTGAAGGTAAGCTGAAAATGTGATCTCTTGGTATTTAGGGAGTATATCCAAATGTGTGTTCATGTTCACTGTTCATGAATTCATTTCATTCTCAACGTTTTCCTGAATGCAATAAGTGCCGGCCAGTATACTGGGTGCCAATTAAGTCTGAAAATGCCTCAGCTCCAGGTAGCTCACAGACAACTCTAATAATAATGCTTCATAGTTAGAGTGCTTCCATTTATAATTTGAAAAATGAACACACAGACACACACAGACATAGACAGACACACACAGGCACATAGACACAGACAGAAAGACAGACAGACAGACACACACACACACACCTCCCTCCCTTAATTGAGCTTTATAAATTTATATGAAGTAAGGCATGCATTGTTACCCTGATCTGTTTCATGATGAAAAAGGGATGGAGTGACTTGCTCTAGGTCTTTCAGGCCCAGTGCTTTTAAAGAAACACTAGTACTATGTTATCCCTGATATATGGAAATTAGTTTAATATATAGAATATATATGGGGAAAGATGCTAAAGGAAAATAGGCATGCTAGTTTCAATCTCTGAGGAGGCAAAGGAAGAACTCTTGAGTGGTGAGGATGATCATTGTCCCCCAATCTCACCTCACCCAAAGTCCTTCTGCCTCTTTTGTTATGTACAGGGGGGAACCTACACAGATTAAAAGCAAGGCTGCCAGACACCAGCTAAGTTTAAATCCTAGCTCTGCCAGTTACTAATTGTGTGACTTTGGATAGATTACTTAACATCCTCTTCCAGAACCTCAGTTTCCTCATCTATAAGATGGCAGGGAGTTGGCGGGAGTGCTTACTTCCTACAATTGTTGAAAGGATTACAATAAATCAGTAATAGATCATTGTTTAAAACTACTTGCCTGCTCTATTTGCATTTCTTTAGAACTTTAATAAAGGAAAAGCAAGTATATTATGACGTAAAATCGTTTATGATGGCTCAGTAGAGTACGTCTTTAAGGAACATAAGGGATAAAGGCTTACATTTAAAACAGAGGCACTAAATTAATGTAAAAGGGCTGGAGAGATGGCTCAGTGGTTAAGAGCACTGGCTGCTCTTGCAGGAGACTTGAGTTCAGTTCCCAATGCCTACATTTGGGCTAATAACCATCCATAACTACGTTGCCAGGGCATCCAGCGCCCTCTTCTGGCCTCCATGCACATTGTATGACATGGGTATATTTACATACTTTCAGGCAAAACATTCATATATATAAAATAAATAAAATATTAAAATAAATGTAAAAAACCAAATTAGATGGATTTTTCAAGAGAGAGATTTCAGGTCAGGAAGATTTCAGGCCAGGTGTGGTGGCAAGTGTCTGTAGACCCAGCTATTTGTGAAGCCAAAACAGGAAGAATTGTTTGAAGTCAAGAGATTGAGTCAGTCTTTTTTTAAGTATTTTTATTAAATCTTTGAAATTTTCATACAATATATTTTGAACCCATTCATCCCCCTTCCCTAACCTCCCAGATCCACTCCCACCTCCCTACCCACCCAATTTTGTGTCCATCCCCCCTTTTTTAACCCATCGAGTCCAATTTGTACTTCCCACAAACTCCTGGGTATGGGTCCATCCATTGGAATGTGGTAGACCTACCAGGGCCCACACTTTTTTAAAAAATTGACTCTTCCTTTCCTAGCAGCTATATCAGTTGCCAGTAGTTCCTCAACTAGGGGTGGGTCTTTGTGCCTACCTCCCTTCTAATGCTGGGATTTTTGTCTTGAGCCAGTCTCTTAAAAACCAGCCAGCTAAACAATAAACAACAAAAAATAGCTTGCATAGTAGTATACACCTCTAATCCTACTACTCAGGAGGATGAGGCAGGAAGATCAAAAGTTCATAGCCAACAGGGCTACATAGCAAGTTCTAGGTCAGCCTGAGCCACTTAGTAAAACTCTGTCACAAAAGTGGGGAGAGGGGAGAGGAACCCTTACAGTAAACTGCTAACACTTAGTTTATACTTATATTTCCCCAGCATTAGTTCAGGAAGAATATAATTTTCTTTTTTTAAAAAGATGTCATTATTGATGAAAAGACAGGGGGTAAATTATGTTTCAATAAAGTTTTAGGTTTTAAAAAATATATAGGGGTTGTTTGTATTTTCACATTCATTTAGGAATTAGGCAATGTATAGTAATGACCTATGATGGAAATATAATTTGACTTTTAACCTCTCTCTCTAGTTAGAAGAATTAGGTACCTTCGGAGGCAAAAAAGATGCTTTCTTTAAGGAAGTGAGAAAGAAAGCTGTGAACAAATTAGATTCATGATTTCCAGCCAGAGAGGTGGCTCAGTGGTTAAGAGCGCTGGTTGCTCTTACAGAGGACCCAGGTTCGGTTCCCAGAACCTACGTAGTAGCTAACAAATATTTGTAACTCCAGTTACAGGGGATCTGACACCCTCTTAAGATCTCTGAGGGTGCCAGGCACACATGTGGTACACATACATACATGTAGACAAAATACTCATACACATAAAATTTTAAAAATGGAAAAAAAAAGATTTGTGTTTTCACCATCCTGACTGACCTCTGGGTAAATCGAGTGTAAGATTAGGGGTTAGACCATTGTCTGGTTTCCATGGGAAGGCAAGCAGGATTCTAAATTCTTGCCTGAATATTGTAGGTGATCCAGAGTCTGCTGTGACTGACCTCCAATGCATTTGGCATAACCTGAGCTACATGAAGTGCTCCTGGCTCCCTGGAAAGAATACAAGCCCTGATACACACTATACTCTTTACTATTGGTGAGCATGTATTGTATGTACAATAGATTAACTGGAGCATTGATTGTGATTGTATTGGGAGCCTTTGGAGCCAATCTTAATTTTTTAAAAGCCTATTTTTATATGTGGTAGTCCCTTGGCTAAAAATCCAAGGCCACTGGGCGTGGTGGCACACACCTTTAATCCCTGCACTCGGGAGGCAGAGGCAGGCAGATCTCTGTGAGTTCAAGGCCAGCCTGGTTTACATAGTTCCAGAGCAGCTGGAGCTACAGGGAGACCCTGTCTTAAAAAAGACCCCCCCCCAAAAAAATCCAAAGCCTTGCACATTTTGTGTAACTGCTCTGCTACTGAGCTACATCCTCAGCTCTAGTGTGTTCTTTTCTACAACGGCAGTAGATGGCTAATTTATAATTAACACATTACTTGGTATGTTAAATTAAAAAAAAAACTAATCTAAAAAAATGAAAGGGGCCTGGCATGATGGCGTACATGTTTAATCCCAGCACTAGGGAGACAGAGCCAGGCCAATCCCTGTGAGTTCAAGGCCAGCCTGGTCTACATAGTGAGTTCCAGGCCAGCCAGGGCTACATAGTGAGGTCATGTCTTAAAAAACCTAAGTAAATCTGGGCATGGCGATGCGTGCCTTTAATTGTAGCACTCAGGAGACAGAGGCAGGCAAATCTCTCTGAGATTGAGGCCAGCCTAGTCTCTATAGCAAGTTCCAGGTCAGCTGCAGCTACAGGGAGACCTTGCCTCAAAAAGACCAAAAACAAACAAACAGCCCCTAAATAAATAAATAAGTAAATAAATAAACAAACAAATGAAAGGCCAATGAGATGGCTCAGCTGGTAAAGGCACTTGTTGCCAAGCCTGAGGACCTGAATTCTATCTCTGGGACCCACTCAGGTAAAACGAGAGAACTGACTCCTGCAAGTTGTTCTCTGACCTCATCTGTACCATAACATATATACCTCCCTGCCAATAAATAAATAAATAAATAAATAAATAAATAAATAAATAAATGTAATAATATTTTTAAATAAAAAAGGGAAAAATTACCCATTCTTACCCCCCTCAAACCAAGAAGAATAGATAATTAAATTCAATAAAAATGCATCTGCAGGGCTAGAGAGATGGCTCAGTGGTTAAGAGCACTGACTGCTCTTGCAGAGGACCTGGATTCGATTCCCAGTATCCACATGGTGACTAAGAACCATCCTTAACTCCAGTTCCAAGGGAATCCTACACCCTCTTCCGACCTCCACAGCATTTCACAACATGGGTGTGCTCACATGCATGCAGGCAATATACTTGTATACATAAAATAAAAATAATTTAAAAAAGAAATGTATCTGCTTTGAGTATATACTTAAAAAAAGACTACCTTTTTAAAAATGTATATCCACATGGTATTGCAAAGAGAATATTGAAGACCCCAGTATATTTTTTACTCCTTTTTCTCTCAGTGGTAAACTCTAATGTAGTATCAAACCCCAAAAATTGGTGTTGACGTGATTCAGTTTTATTCACATTGTACCAGTTTCATATGTACTTATGTGTGTAGTTCTATGCAATTTTATCACATGGTTCCATCACTACAAAGTTCCCTGTAGTTGCTCTTTTACAGCCACACTCATCTCCTACACCCTTCCTCCTCTCTATTCCTTTCCCCCAAGTCTTTAACCTCTGGCCCTCTAATCTGTTCTCCATGTACATAATTTTGTCATTTCAAGAATGTTACTGGAGAAACTAGAGAGATGGCTTAGTGGTTAAGAACACTTGCTGCTCTTGCGGAGCACCTGAATTCAGTTCCCAGTACACATGTGATGGCTGACAACCATCTCTAACTCCAGTTCCAGGGGATTTGATGACCACTTATGGCTTCCATGGGTGCTAGGCATGTACATAGTACACATACATACATGCAGGCAGAACACTTACACACATAAAATAAAAATCTTTTATTTAAAAAGTTACTGAAATAGAATTCTACAGTTCATATCACATTAAACTGTTTTTTAAAAAGTGCATCAAGAACCATATAAGTACTTATACATAAAAAGAGTTCATCCTTTTATCTTTTTTTTTAAAGGCAGGTTCTCACATTGTAGCTTAGGCTGGCCTTGAGCTCACTGTGTGTCCCAATACTCCGGTCTTAGTCGTCTGAGTGCTGAGATTGTAGGTGTAAACCACCACATCCAGTTAAGAGTTCATCCTTTTTATTGCTGATTGGTATCTCATAATATGGATGTACCTGTTTGTCTAACCATTCATTCACTGTTGCTATAAATATGAACATGTAGGTTTTATATGAATATAACACTTACTGGGAATAATTACCCAAGTGTAATTACTGATTCATATAGTATTTGAATATTTACTTTCATTTAAGACACTGCAAAACTAAGCCGGCATGGTAGCACATGACTTTAATTCTAGCACTTGGGAGGCAGAAGCACGTGGATCTTTGTGAGATTGAGGCCAACCTGATCTACATAGCAGAGTCAAGGCTATCTGGTGGTACATGGAGATCCTGTCACAACAAAACAAAAACAAACACTGAGATCCTGTCACAACAAAACAAAAACAAACACTGCCAAACTGTTTTCTAAAGCACAGTTTCTTAAAATGTTCTACTCATGACTCCTTTTACATCAAAGAAATTGTTACTTAACCCCATGTATATTGGTATTTAAATAGGTATTCAAATCAAACATTTACTGGTAATAAATCATGAAGAAATGTGTTTTAAAATAATTCTTTTTTTTAACTTTTACAAAAGCTTTATTGAATTTCATACATGCATATAAGGTGTTTTGATCAAAAATTCTTTGGTGTGCATATGAAAAGTTTACCCTTTATTAAAGATAAAAACAAATTTGCATACAAATAGGATAGATATGCTTGTTTATTTTTATGTAAAGAATGAAATCTTGGCTGAATGTTTGGTACTACGGGATACAACATTTCCAGTGTTTTTCAGTGTTGATCAATGTTTTGATTTTCTACTCATCAGTGCTGAGAATGCTGCTTCACATGAATATGTATGTACCACAAAATGCCTGAAATATGCTTAGGGCTATATCAGAAATTGTTGGAAATTCTGTCCTAATCCAAAGCCAAATTTCATTTCATTTTTTATGAAATTCAAGTCAGTAGCTCAAACAGTAGTTATAAGAAATCAAACATGCTAATGCAGTACAATATATTATATACTAATTGGATACTCACATGCTGAGAAATGATAGTAGGAAAATACCAAGTCTTTGTTTTCTATACTTAAACTGTTATGTTTCTGTAAGAGCAGAAAATTATATGTACAGTAAAAAACACTGTAATTCATAGCATATGATAGTCTTGAATCTGAGCTGAGGTGTTCCAGGCCCCATTCGTTGGCATTGTGTGCTGTGAGGGCACACACAGTGCAAAGTGCACATGCTGTGGTTCGAAACCAAGACTGCCTTGAAATCACCTGACAAAAACATGTCAGATCTATATGTTTCATTTTAATTAATTTTTGGTTGTTGCATGTTTAGAAAACTTTTGTTCTTGATGAACATTGTGCAACCCCACAGACTCCAGTTTAGGAGAGTGTGATCTCGAACCGTTGGTTCTCTGTTTATAAAGGAGAATGATATGAATCAGCAAATAGTTTAGCTTCTCACAAAAGAAATTTTGATATTTTGATGTTTGGTGCTTTGGTATTAGATATTTGTGACTATGTCAACTATAGACTGTTAAATTTCTGAAATAGTTCTTGATCATTCCTTTTCCTTTAGGATCCAAAGTAAATTCCCTAGAATTAGAAGCAATAAAACAAGGGAAAAAAGGGCTGGGCTAAATCAATTCAGTTCAGTAAACCTTTGTTTAGCACACTTCATGGGTAAAGTATTGAGCAGACAGCAGACAAGAAATCTCTTCCATTGCTCCTAAAGCTTATATAGAGAGGAAAGTAGTATCCAGCATAGTTACCAAGATAAAACAATCTGCAGTCAGTTGTAGAAATGGAGAAAGACAAGAAGTAAGGGTAGAAGCATGGACCGGCAGCAGGGGAGTCTTGGAAAAGGTCCAGACTGCACCGATGTGAAGTCTCTCAGAGATTGGCCTCTGGGAAAGAATGTTCACAGAGAGAGACAGAGAGAGCGAGAGTGAAAGAGCGAGCGAGAGAGAGAGGGAGAGAGAGTGTTTTGGTTCCAGACCAGCCTGGAGCTTGCTATCTAGCCCATATTGGCCTTAAACTCACGATTCTTCTATCTCTGCTTTCAGAGTACTGGGAATTCTGGGAGTACAGGTGTGTATCTCTATACCCAGTGTTTTAGTTTGCTTCTCCATTGCTGTTATAAAATACTCTAACCAATACCAACTTGGGGAGGAAAGGGTTTATTTGGCTAACATCTCCGAGGTCACAGTTCATCACTGAGGGAAGCCAAGGTAGGAACTCAGGGCAAGAACCTGGAGGCAGGAGCTGGAGCACGGGCCATAGAGGAATGCCGCTTACTGGCTTGCTCCTCTGGCCCGTGCTCAACCTGCTTCCTTATACAGTACAGGACCACCTGCCTAGGGGTGATACCACCCACAATGGGCTCGGCCCTCCCACATCACTCAATAATCAAGAAGATGCCCTACAGACATGGCCACAGGCCAGTCCAATGGAGGAGATTCCTCAATTGAGGCTCCCTCTACCCAGGTGTGACAAGTTGATAACTAAAGCTATCCAGTAGACCCAGCTTGAAATAGGGAATTTTAAAATTTTGAGACAGGGTCTTATGCAGCCCAGGCTAGCTACAAGATCACTATGCTTGCCTTGAACTCCTGATCCTTCTGCCTCCACCTCTCATAGTCTGGGATTACAGGTGTGGACTACCGTACCTGGCTGAAATTGGTAGATTTTGTTTAAAGCATGATTATTTATGATTTCTAAAGGCTGCAAAGCCTTTATGGATTCACAAACTACTTTTTAAATCGACATATACTATTTGCACATATTTATGGAGCCCAGTATTATAATTTTTACATGTATA